AGTGTCGATTAGCCAGATAAGCGTAGTCTACAGGACATCGTATGTCTGCAAAAAAAAATCTGATGCACCATGTATGATTGACTTGAAGAAAATAAAACAGATGACAAATTAGAAAAGTAGGACTATTCACAAACACAACTAAGCACATCTCGGAAAAGCTTCGTACAAAATTTGATTACCACTTATTGGGTGGCTAAAACTTATCAATTTCATCATTTTTTTACAGTTAAATTTTTCATTTTGATTGTAATTTCACAACGAAGTTATTGTGTTGATTTCACAAGCATTACGTAATAATTTATTTATTATTATATAGCGTTGAGTTAATCGCTTTCAATGAGATTTTATTATCACATCGCACAAGTTGATAACTGGACAAAATTTATCTGCTGACTAATGTCTTTTTACAAGAGTTTGCTTTTTATATATCTGGGTGTTTTGACGAAAACGTTTTTTGATGACATACTTCGTGAGTCATTGCCAAAGGAAAAGGCCCGACAGGAAGTAGGACTTCACTTTCCTACGTGGTCGAACTTGCCGTTTTTAAAGTTATTTTTAACTTTTAATTGATTGGCCTCGAGCCGTGTGTAAAAATTCATTTTAATTAATAAATGGCCTGATTTATTTCAGTTTCTTTTTATACAATCATTCTCTCTCTCTCTCTCTCTCTCTCTCTCTCTCTCTCTCTCTCTCTCTCTCTCTCGCTGCAATTTTGGAGCAACTGCAAAAGAATTTTTGAACCATTCTTTGGCCCAATCGCCAAAATTGAAAAATTGTGTGTAACTATTAAAAGTTAATGCTGGTTGGTTTACTTATTATTAAAACGGCTGGTTTTTTCCCCTTTTCGTCGGGATGAATTGACTTTCACAAGTTTATATTTAAGTGTACCCCTGCGATATAACTTAATTTTTACCCGTTTAGAACTGTTTTCAATGGGTTTTTGTCATCAGTATTTCCTCATGTTGCATGTATGGTGCCAGAATGAATCGCCCTTTAGGGCGTACTTCGTTACCCAGGAATAAAATGTTGGAGACATCCAACAAAATCTTGTTAATCCTGTATTTTTACAGAAACATGTCGATATGTAAACATAACTGACATAAAACATTGAAGAGAATATGTTAATGCACAGTTGTAATTAATAACTAAGGTAATTAATAAGATCTTATAAGTTGTAACTAGCATCGAGTTTGCTTACATTGAAGTTCACGATGAAGTAGAATTTTCGGGCAAGCTGAACAGGTCCGTATTATTTAAAATAAATCCTCTCCGCTTAGCTTGTTCCAACAGGTTTATCTCGTGTTTTTTAGAGATAAATAATTCATGTTACAGTTTTGGGAAATTCACGTTTAAGCTAAGAATATTCTTTCTGCTATTAATATGATAAACTACGCAAGGTTTTTATGCACGATTCCCAACAGTATCTAAATAAAAAACATTTAAAAAAATAATTACACTTTAATTAATAAAAAAATCTAGTTATTTATTCACATCCTTTGCAACCATTCACCCTATTGTTTATCGAAATTTATAAAATCAAAATTCTCTCCCATTAGAGGAACAAGTTTAATAACTTTATATCGTTAAAAATTGTTGTAGAGCCAGCTCAGTGCTTTAAAGGGCGTTTGAAACGTAGTATTTTATCGGAAGATAACTGAAAAGAAAGATAACGTGACTCGCGAAGTATAGCGATAAGGTTTTTATTATTTTATGTGAGTGCGTGCGCACGTGTATGTTTTTAACAATTTCCTAATATAACTATGATGTCTTGAAAAAATTGCATATGTTATTGGGGGAGGGGAGTTGATAGTTTATATTTTGCACAAATTCTCTGTTTCTCTCTCTCACACTCTCTCTCCCTTCCTCCGTCTCTCTCTCTCCCTCACCTCTCTTTCTCTCTCTCTCTCTCTCTCTCTCTCTCTCTCTCTTTCTCTCTCTTTCTTTCTCTCTCCCCCTCTCTCTCTTTCTTTCTCCCCCCTCTCCCCCCTCCCTCATGAGTGTAAACTCGTTTTTACTAATAAAATTTATATCTAATAATACGTTTAAAGAATGGAGTAAGATTTCACGATTTTATGAATAACGTTTCCGGTTTAGAATTTTTAGTATACACTATGAAAAAATCAATTTCAAATAAGATTTTAGAGCGTTTTCATCTAATTTAATATATGCGTTCAAATGATAATATTAGTAGATTGACATGCTCAAAAATGAGATTGATTTAATCGCCAATCGATAGGTTGTTATGAAACGTGAGTGTTGCCCCACATTGTAGCGTGGGCATTACAAAATTAGTAACCATGTGTTTATCATCCTTTTGTTCCACAAATATCCACTTTATAAACTAAATTCCGATGGTAAACTAATAATAGTTATATTTCGGCTATGGAATTGGACGAAAAACCTGGCGGATGTAGATTGAATTGGATAGACGAATATTCTGAAAAGTAAGGCCGCGTATAGCATAATCTCCCTCCGGCATTGACGAGGCCAAGGACTCATCTGTAATTGTGCGAGTTTTAAAATTCCCTTGAAACCCTTTTAAATAGAGGTAGTCGAGAGAAAACGTGTGATTCAGACTGTGAAAAACAGAATACAATTTTTTTTTACATGTCGATATAAGTCGACCTATATTTTTTTGGTTTATGTCGTGGACGGCCCTTCAGTCATTATTGTCCTAACTTATCCTGTCACCTAAAAGGAACACTGATATTAGTGTGACTCAATGGTGACTAATCCCCAAGCGGGTAAACAAAAAAAGTTCGAGTGTGAAATATGTTAATATATTTGCACAACATGGTGATTCATACACTTATTTGGACTCGAAACTTGCTCGCGTTTCTGAGATAAACCCTTCTTAAAGAAATATTTATATAAAGGAAAAGAATGACATGAACATCCAACAAGAAACATGACACTAGGCGTGGTCTTTGGGCTTGACGAAGAGTAAAACTTTCCTGGTTGACTATACACGCTTACAAATAGGCTTGGCTGCGACTAATTGCTTTTACTAACTAATGCAGTTGATTTTTCTCAGAGATTTTGACTACAAATCCCTGCTTTAAAAATTTCATTCAAATTTAAGGCACATTAGAAATTTAATTTCTCCCAGCACTACAATTATGCAACAAAAACAAAAAAACAATCATAATCATCATCACCATCGCAATTGCTTATTTGTCCCTTGAACTTAGTTTTTTCTTCACATTAATTTTCTGTTTTGTTAGTTATTTTTACCAAAATTCAGCAGTGATTCAGCAAAGACAATAGAACAATAATTGCATTGTGAGAATTATTGGCAACAATAATTTTTTGGCTGAAGAGCTTCCCAATTTCTTTCTTTATATACACTGACAAGCAAAAAATTCTTCCCACTTGTAATATAACTTGATTTGATTATATTTTTATATATTAATCAGTTTCAATTTTTTAATGTTTAATAAATGAAGCTTTGTCTAAAATAGTAAAAAAAGTAAATTGCTAAATGAAAACAAAAAAGACGGGCAGATAAAATTTGTTTTAATTTTGTTTTAGATTTTTTATTAACATTTCAATATCGTGTATTTCCTCCTCTTACCTAAATTACATCTCGAAGGTGCCCCGGCATACTTTCTACCAGTCTGGAAAGGTCTCTTTCCAGAGAGACCTTTCAAGATCGTGGAGTGTATCAGCAAGTGATGGACGTGCTCTTATTCGTCTTTTGAGGTTATCCCATAAATGTTCGATGCAGTTCAAGTCTGGAGAACCCAAGAAGGCCAGGCTAAGGCCCTGACGTTATGCTGTTGAAGGTACATTTGTACTATGCGAGCACCATGTGGACGGCCATTGTCGTGCATTAGAATAGGATTGTCGCTGGTTTCCTCAAGGATAGGCAATCGTCCAAAAAAGAGATGGATGTGCTCTTATTTGTCTTTTGAGGTTATTCCATAAATGTTCAATAGGGTTCAAGTCTGGTGAACCCAAGAAGGCCAGGCTAAGACCCTGACGTTATGCTTTCGAAGGTACATTTGTACTATGCGAGCACCATGTGGATGGCTAGAATAGGATTGTCGCCGGTTTCTTCAAGGATAGGCAATCGTCCAAAGACTGCTGTTACTCAAGCAAATGCGAGCAGTGCAACTCTGTATGTTCTGGTCAATTCTGATCCTCTTACGGGATGAAAAGCTACCGGTCCATACTGATTTAATTTTCTTCGAGCAGTGCATTCAGAAATTTGGACACCTCGAACTTTGATGAATCGCTTGAACCACAGTAAGGTGCCAGTTTCACAAAATTCTCAAAGTCAAAAAACCGTCATCTCGTCACTGGAGTCATTGGCATATATTATTTGTGAATGACTGGCTACAACTTGATATCATCATTTCAGTAAGAGAATTTTCATACCAAAAGAAGTGCATGAAGAGATAACTGATGAGTTGAAAATTGACTCACTCTTAGTGATTTTAGCAAAATAAAAAATTTACCAATTAATGGTTGGTGTCATTTTGTATGCACCAAAGTTTTTTTTAAGCATATCCTCAGATAAATGATACTTTATATAAAAATGTAGCTTATAAAATCTTTAACTGAAATATTAAAACTTGCATTCCTTCAAATTGCACCAGAGATCCAGAAAACACACACAAAAAAAAAAAACAAGAGAACAGTTGTTTTAATTTAACCAAGTTTAGGTCTCGCTATTTTATTTTGTGGTTCAATAATTGTTTCAAGACTTTTTTATGCCATATATTTTTCAATTGTCTTGTTACATTTTAAGTTAAATTTATGTAGTTTTAAGAGGTTTCTGATCCATTTGGTCTCTACTCATCTGTAGAGGTGGGTCTGTAAAGATATGCTTATTCAAAATTCACAATTTTGTAAAATGATTACAACATATAAAAAGAATATAGATATAAATTCCTTAAAGTTAAAGACATTAAAGTCCTTATTTTTATAAATGTATTATTTTAATGTATGTTTGTTTTATTGATTAAAATTTTTGCATGTTTAATTTTTTTCTCCAGGTTTTGGGTATACTCATAATCACTATTGGCATTCTAACCAATATCAATGGAGGTTCTATCAAATCACTACTACATTCTGAACTTACAACCACCAGTATCGTTTTCATCGTTATTGGTTGTTTAGTGTTCTTGATTTCTTTCTTTGGATGCTGTGGTGTTGCCAGGGAAAGCCACTGTATGATAACAACGGTAATTAAGTTTCTAGCATAAAATAATTATCTATTTTTAATTCTAATCAGAGTACAAAAATAATTTTAAATTTGTTAATATAGTACGCAGTGATATTATCTGCTATACTTTTGGTTCAAATTGCAATCGGAGTATTGGCTTTCGTTTATCACAAGAACATCACTAGTGAGATTAAAACCAGCGTAGAAAACACCTTCGCAGATTATGACAATCACAGAAAAGAAATTGATGTCATTCAAAAAGAAGTACGTAGTTGTAATGAGCACAAATTGACTTTTCTTGTATTAACTATTGTAATATTTTACAGCTGAAATGTTGTGGCTCACACGGACCCTCGTATTTTCCAACACGTGATCTCCCATCATCATGCTGTGGAACCACTGGTGAAACTTGTCCCCCTAATCGTGCTTATCAAGATGGATGTTACGATAAAGTAGTCATGGTTGTTAAATCTCAATTGAAAACTATTGGACTTGCTGCTTTGATCATCGCTGCTGTTGAAGTGAGTACATTTCATAATTTATTTAAATCAATATATTTTTTATAATCTGCTTGTAACTATAGTTAGTTTTGTAAGAACGCTTTGAAAACCGACACCCTTTTTTTTCCAGTTGTTTTGCATTTCTAGTGCATTCTGCATGGCATCCTCAATTCGACGTAGAGAGCGAATGATGATCTAATTTTATTTGTACAAATAAACACACATAATAATCCCTGTCACCTATTTTTTTTTCTGTACTAAAAATTATACTGAATTTAAATTAGATGTTTTGATTATCAATTTTTGTTAAATAACAGAGCTTTTACATGTTCAGTATTATATCTAGCAATTCAATGTGTAGTTTTTCCTTAAAAAGCAAAATGTACATACATTTTTCATTTTAACGATTGGATTCTTTTTATACAAAAATATTGCCCATTCTGACAGTTTTTAAGCTTGTTTATTTTATTTTTAATGTTTTCACTGTAACCCTATAAATGCTTGCTTTTAAGGAAAAACATTAATTCGCTTTTTTAAATTTCTTTTTAAAGTCAAATCATTGAAACATTTATCTAGATAATTGTATTAAGAAAATGCTTTACATTAAACACTGTGAATATATAGTTGGGTTAATAATGCTTATAACTATTTGTGTTTTTTTATACCCATAAAGCTTGACCTGTAAATTTTTTATTAGTGCAAGAATGTTTTGTAATTGACTCACATCGCAATGTACCATAGCATTAAAGTTAAGCACAAGTTTCTTGGTTTTATTGATTTAGGGTGTTTTTTCTTTATTTACAGTTCTTTTGCGTTGCCTGTGCATATTTCCTGGCGAAGTCCTTCAGGAACGTTTATGTTTGAAAGGATAAAAATTATCTATATTATATTATACTACTAAGAGAATACAAAATCATATTTTTATTTATCTTTAAGTTGTACATAATGTGTTTTTAAGTGCGATTATATTGCACTTTGTAAAATAAAAGTTTATTTTTAAAATAGACTTCTGATTTCAGTTAAAATCAACTATATATTAAATTATCATTAAAATATAAAACAAAAGCATTTTTTGTGTCAATTATGATAGTTATTGATTCTAAGCTAATATGAATTCGATCAGTTTCAATATTGTACTTCATAAAAAATTGCAAATTCAAAAATTCTGATGCATCATGTATTAGTGTTATTTTGATCAAATACAAGTAATTTTAAATTGTGATTTGTTGTGATGTTTCTACCCTGTAATATCTTTTTTATTCCCTTGTATAAAAATAAAATATGTAACTTGATCTTCTCCGATCATTCTGGTCTATCGTTTCTCCTGCATTTTGGCAATTTGTCATTTTCAGTGTTCCGCTTTGCCGGATGGTCATTGTACTAAGTCGAGTCGCGGTATATTTTGACGTATGACTATGAGTATCTTGTCTTGTCTTATGTGAGCGCTCGGCATCAGCCTAAAGCCATTAAAATCTAAGTCATTTGTTTGTCAATTTATATCTGAGTTTGCCTTAGTCAGTCCGTTCGAGACATAACACTTTTGGAGACGAGATAAAATCGGGAGTTTCAAGTGTTTTTTTCCCCGTTTGATGCCGGTTCGAGGTTATGGCACATGGTCATTAGTCTTCACATCGTGAAAGAATCGTACAGTGGAGAGAGTCAAATTGTCGTCATTGGAGCAGTGGATTGGCATCTGTAAGTATTGGAAACAACGCTTCAATGCTCATGTCTCAGTTTAAGGGCAGGGCAGAGAACTTCGAGTCTTTCATCGAGCGTATTTGTGTCTTGCTCTTGATGAGGAAACGTCGATCTTCCGAAAAGTCTCATTTCACCGTCTTCAGTCGGAAAACTAAACTATACCTAGCTTGTCACTACGTTAAAGAACCATTTTGTCACCAAAGGATGTTGCCGATAGGTATCAATTCTACTGCAGAAAACAGGCTTTTGGTGAGTTTGAAAACATTTGCGCCATCAAAGACCTGGCAGCTAAATGTCATGTTACGACGTTCTTGGATTCTATGAGATAAACTGGTGTGTGGTGTTTTAAGCCCAAGATACATCAGTCGTCTTCTATCCAAAAAGGGTGATCCAACATACTACGCTACGGATATACTTTTTAAGTTGGAATCTGTTGACAAAAACACGGAGATCTTAAGCCATTCGAATCAAGAAGTCGTCACAGAACCGTCAGTTGTCACACCAAGTAAGATGCCATTCATGTGGTATCAAGCACAAATTTACCAACTGTCCAGCAAGAAACTGGGAGTGCTACTCTTGTGGTGAAGAGGGCACACTTCTTCTGTATGCAAGTCAAGGCGTTATCAGAAAGGAAGTAACGCCTTTGCCATTAGTAAAGTTAAGTGGCAAAATGAAAAATCCATGTATGTAATTCGAGATCTTACTTTTTAAAAATGTTTATTTAAAAAGTAGTAGCTCCGCCAATATACATTCGAGGAAGCGTACACAGAATCTAATCTATTTACCTTCGGTAAATCATTAAGTTACATCGGGTTAAGGGGGAAAAATGCAATTGTGCTTAATCGACTTCTGATAAGCCGAGTAACGCTATAACTAATATTGAATAATATAATATATATAACTTGTATCAATTTTAAATGCTTGTAATTTTTCAGATAATACTGCAAACCTGAATCTGAGAGTCAATGGACTCTGCTCGTCAAACACACTTATTAGTTCAAAAATGTATCAAACCAAGTTTCCAAATTTGGAAATGCAGCCATACCTAGGCCGCTTGAGAGCAGCCAATGGTCAGGATCTAGCCATTGTAGGGGTCATTGTGGTCACAGTTGAAGACAGGTATACAAATTTACCATTGGTTGTAGTCAAAGGATTGTCATGTGCTGCGTTACTTGGTCGCAATTGGCTAAATGTTTTAAAACCTGAACGGTTGTCTGATATAGTTGAAGGAATTGGGCAAGGCCAGGAGTTCGTCATGCCAGTCACTCACTCAAAAGGACAACTTAAATCTTGTAATTGACTTAAAGCAAAATTTCCTCGCACGTTTTCAGAGAGGGATAATCACCTACCAATTTTCAACTTGAAAGAGCAAGTAACCCCTGTATTCCACCGGGCATATGAGGTGCCTTGTGCCCAAGGGCAGATGTATAGGGGGAATTAATCCGTCTCGAATCTGAGGGCATTGTAGAAAAAACAAATTATAGCCAATGGGCCTCACCCATAGTATACGTCCCAAACAAGGATGGTAGAGTTCGCCTTTGTGTGGATCTAAAAGTAACATTAAATCCATTTTTGAAGGTAGATCAGTATCCTATACCAAGGGCAGAAGATATCTTCAACAAATTTGTCAATTGTAAATATTTTTGTAGATTATATGTCAAATGCGTAACTGCAACTAGAGGAGAGTAAACATCTTCTAACCATAAATGGTAAACCTGGGTACCAAAAAAGAATGGGAAAGAGAGGGAAACAACTCTTTCAAAAATGGCACCATCCTCTGGTGCACAGATGGATCTAGAACACAAGAAGGTACAGGGGCAGAAATATTTGGACTTGGAACCAAATACTCAGAACCCATGGGAAACACACCAGTATCTTCCAAGCTGAGATTCATGCAGTCGAAAGATGTACCCAACTCAACCCAAGTAAAGGGTACAAAAACAAAAATATAGCTATCATGTCAGATAGCCAAGCAGCCATCAAAGCACTAAGCTCAAATATCATTTGTTCAAGGGTGGTGCTGAACTGCAAAACCAAACTAAACATACTAGGTACGCAGAATAAAGTCAGCCTCTGCTGGGTCCCAGGACACATGGGAGTGGAAGGCAGTGAGAAAGCGGACACCCTTGCGAGAAAAGGGGCTGCTACACTGCTGATAGGACCTGAACCCTTCTGTGGCATAGGAACCCACACTATGAATGAGTATCTCAGACAGAAGGACGAAAAGAAAATGAGGGAACATTAGAATTCACTCATTGGACACAGACAATCCAAGAATCTTCTAACCAATTTTAGTAGGAAAGAATGTGGCAAGGAAAGCAGGAACAAACTGCGAATCCTAATAGGATTCCTAACAGGACACTGCAAATTAAATGGACACTTAAAGGAAATTGGAATAATCCAAGATGGCACATGCAGATTCTGCAAGGAGGTAGAAGAGACACCAACACATTTACTAACAAACTGCAGAGCTACACTAGCCTGCAGGAGGAAATGTTTTGGGACGTATAATGAATTTCTTGATGAAATAGGACTCGCCAATATGATTTAGGCAGAGCTCGGGGGATACAATAGCTCTTAAGGCGCAGTATACTACACCCTGGAACCATATCTACGTGTACATCCACAAATACTCAATGGGGGCTTTATCAGTACAATCAATTGGTGTCTGGTCTTGCGTCAGCTCCAGCCATTTCCAAATGGTAATGGATTGTTTGTTGAAGGACATTGAGTCATGCGATGCCTACCTGGATGATATTTTACTAGGAGGAAAGGATGACCAAAGTTGTCATCAAACCTTAAATAAAGTTTTGTCAAAATTAGAGCAAAATAATGTTAAAATCGATGTTCAGAAAAGCGAATTTCTAGTCGTCAGTTGATTTTTTTTGGATTTCATCTTTCTGGTGCAAGTAGATGGCATCGGCCTAAAGCCAATAAAGTCTAAGTTTTTTTGTTTGTCAATTTATATCCGAGTTTACCTTAGTCAGTCTGAACGAGATAACACAGTGGTCATATAATGAAACACAATTAACAAAACAAATGTACAATTATTATTATTAAAAAAAAGCACTGTCCAATGAACTAGGTTCATCACAGTTAAGTATGAAATGTCCAAGCTAGGACAAATGAAGACATGAAGAAAAATAGTTCTAGGCTTTGCAGAAAGGTAAGTAACTGGAAACAAGCTAGTTAATTTAAGGAATAAAAATGCTGACATGTGCTGACAAAGTTCATTGCGAAATGTGCCATCGTTGAAGGTGACCATTTGCACTTCACCTCACATCACCCTAAATTGCTCGTATTAGAAAAATGATAAATGATGGAGTGAGTGCAGTGTTCAATCCTTTTTTAAAAAAAGATAGTTCGTACTCACAGTAAGTTGTTTTGCAACGATCGGTATTTCGAGCCCTTTAGCTCATCATCAGGTTGAAGGACTTCTACAACCATGTCTGTCGACATGAATTGCAAAAGTGAACCCACTGATGCCCCCCTCCGACGCGACGTTCCAATGAGAAGCTGGTTTTTTAATGGCGCTCAGTTTGAAAGTGCAAAAGGCGGAAATTATAACACAAATATTATAATAGTAAATACTGTAAGAAATTAATTATAAATTAGTGATTAAAGATAAAAGATAGAAAATTAGAATGATTAATAATTTAATAATATTGAAAAAAAGGATTAGAAAAAAGATGTGGCAGCAATGGCAAAAAAGGATGGATTGAAATAAATAATAACAAACTCATGGAAATAAAGGTGAGTGTTGTACAGTGGAACTCTTCTTGCCGGCGACAAAACATTAAGAAACAATATTGACTAGAATAGGGCATTGTAGGCTTCGTGGATATCTGATGGCAGGAGAATCACCTCTGCGAAAAATGTAGGGAGTTGGTAACAGGCATGTAATTGGGGGTCGTGCATTGAATCAGATAAATACGACCAGGCTAGAAGACAACCCTGCATGGCCAACCGATTGTCGAGATTCTTGGGAAAAAACACTTGAGTAAAGGCAACATGTTTGCCTTTTTACGAGCCATTAGATTATGGGGGGGGGTTGGCAGGTGCACACCTCTCTGGGAGCCTCAGTTCACTGCAAGGACCCCAGATTTGGAGGGGTGTGGACGTTGTCAGTGGTATGTATGCACAACTCTTAGATGGTTTGTGCAACAAATATGATAAATTTTGGAGTAAAGGGAAAAGCCCGGAAGGTGTATTGGGTCGTCCGGGCTTGCCACCATCCCTGATTGGTGTTGAATAAATATAAAATGAGAAAACTATATATAATTATCTTATTTATTTTTACAATATTGTTACTTTCGAACAGTATTGAACAGACTATAATATGAAAGAATTTCATGCCTTTCAATAGTCGCCTATATTAATGTCTGAATCTAATTAAAAATTTAAATTACAAACACTTTGTTTTAATTAAGAAAAATAAAACTGGTAATCTACAATGATACATCACCGTAATAAATATATATATTTATATGTATTAATATATCTATTTACATATATAAAGTGAACATATCTACAATGGATAAAGACAGCACACAAGATTTGGAAGAGGTGAGGGACTAAAAAGGGGGTATATAAAAAGAGGGTTACTCTTTATTGGGGTAGCACACATTCTTGAATATTTATATAAACCCTCTGTTAATAATGTTAACATTGGCTTAAATTGCACTTGTACCTAGCCTATTTAATCCTCAGGGATACACCTGAAATCTTTTTTTTCCTACTCAAACAGCTTCATGCGAATGTTCCAATATCTTTCTTCTCGCTTTGCTCCCCAACAAGACTTAAGTACAATGTCAAATATCCATTTTAAAAATAATAACCGAGAATTCAGTTTATAAAAAAAAAATTGTTTATACATTGTATTGAGCAATTGTTTGTAAAATTCTAATACTAGGTCATTCCGGAACAAATTTTATTTCATAGTTGAGTCTGACATTCCTGAGTTTTTTCTAAATAAATCGTATAACATGGAAAAATCAATTATTGATATTGGAACAAACGCAATTTTTTTTTTTACAAACTAAAAAATAGTATTTCTAAATGGTATAAATATAATTACAACATGCTAATATAAAAATAAAATAGTATCATCACACAAATATGTATATGGAAACAATCATTATACAAACTTTTGGATACACAAATATTGATATAAATGGTTTAAAATAGAAGGATTAATAATTGAACATAAAACATTAGTGCTTTGCACATATAAGACATTTTCCTACCATAGTATTTTTATTTATGCATTTTTTTAAGAAAAAAGAAATTGTAATTAATGTTACACTAAATAATGTTTTGATTAGTTAGCAGTGTCCTAACAGAATACTATATGTACCTTACACATGCTTAAAATAATCTTTCATAAGATATTCCTCCAACTTATTTACATTAACCATTCAATTCAATTTAGTCTGGAATTTTTTGAAAATCAGCGGTAAAAAACAGGCAAGACTAGTTAAAAAAAGAAAAGTAGAAAGAAAAGTGGTAGAAAAAACAATAACTACTGAGAAGTTGGTCTTGAAGTAGTGGATTCTCTGGAGCTGGTTGTTATTTCTTCAAGAAAATCAAAACTTGCAACCGCTTCTTGTTCTTTGGCACCATACCTTGTGAAAATATCCTCTCGTCCAATAATTGACATTCGTGGCGAGACATGGACCCTCACAGCTCCGTCTCGTGTCGCTGAAGCTGAACAAAAGATCAATTATATAATATTTAAATTAAACATTAATCTTCGATACCTTTTTTGTGTCTTCGGGACCTATGAAGTCTATGTAAATGTTGATAAGGGCTGTGATCATCTCCACTTTCACTACTGCCGCTGCAAGAACTTGAACTTCGGCTTGACATTACTTCAAGAAGATTCGCTTTCAACTGAAATGGGATGAAAGCGACAATGAAATCTTTAATATATGACTTATGTCTTTTCTTTTTTAATAAAAATGATATATTGTTAATACCTTAGGATCGGTGAGGTCTGCTGGTCTATTAAGATGTACCCACCCAGTTGGTTTAGATGTTTCTTCTTCTTGGAGATCAACTTCATGACTGGACTCTTGTGGTACTTCATCTTCCGCACCGCCATCGACAATTTTATGAAGTTCTTCAAGAGTGCTGACTTGCGTTAACTGTTTTATTGGCGGCGTTTCCGGTGCTCCAGCATCTTCTTCAGCCTCCTCAGGTACTGTGAGCAAACCTCTAGATTCGCTCGTTTTAACTACTTCGTCCGAACTACTCAAATTAGATGTGACTCCTGAGTCTGTATTGTGGAGGGAATCGTTGCTGCCACCTTCGGCCTGTGGCTCTTCCAAATACTGCTGTTGTTCTGCGATAAATTGTAATACGCTTTGTAATGCTTCGCGTCCGCATTCGGACACTTGAGATCTTGATGAAGTCGAAGCAAGGCTTTTAGTACTCTCGAATTTAACAAGGCGGTAAAAATCACGTGTAAATTGGGTTCCTACTGCAGGCGTCGTTTCGCTCTCAGCTCCAGACGATCTTTTCGATCCTTCTGATGTTGTTGTTTGACTTGACCACGAATCAGCTCCTGGTGATGTCAATCCATATTGACCATCAAGAACAGAAAACCAAACATCTTCTAGATCTTCTGCCAAGAAGGACAAACCTAAACCAAATAAAAAGTATAGTCATCAATACATTGAGAAAGAAATATACTTGATATTAGACTAATTAAAAGTTTAATAATAATGCATAAAATCAAAGTTACCTGGGATATCATCCATATTCCATTCTTCTAATTCAGGCGGCGCATCAAAATCAATTCGGGAAAGCGTTGAATCGGGGTCCCACCATTCTTGCTCGTCATTGAAAGCCGTGTAAGGTAATAATGCTGAATCTGAGGAGCTGCGGGGTATGAAACTGTGTTTTGGTACGCGTAATCCAACTACAAGCTCATCCTCGCCCAACCTGTGTAAATAAATCAATATTATAATTAAAAAGCACACGCTCTTAATCAAAATGTCTTGCCTGTTAGTCGTTTCTTCTTGTAAACGTTCTAGAGGACACTGTGACATGCTAGTACCACTTTCACACTGGACTTCACTTGACATGGTGGAATAACCCTCGTCTTTATGACATTCACCATTAGAAAGCACTACACTCCCTGTTGAATTATAAAACAATAAAATCTAGAATTATAGTATAAGTAATAAAAGTAATATACCGTTTTGTAAAAGAAGGCGTTGGGATTCTAAATTGAGGGAACTCGGCCTATGGATAGGAAGCCAAAACAGAGAATCACCTCTCCATTTCAACTTGCCTTCATCACAGCTTAACGGTCTCACACATACTTCCTGCAAAGTAGTGAAATATTTTTGAAAAAAATTCTTTTCTTCAAGTGTAAAAACTAGTTACTTACCAAAGGTGTACCAGTATTTTGTTGTTTACCAGGTGGACCTTTGGGAATTTGCTGGAGTAATAAGGAACTCAATGTATAATTTTGTTTTTCTAATTCTTTCACTTTGTCTCTTAAAGAACTGATTTCTTCTCTTAATTCCTGTAAAAAAGATGACAATGTATAGAATTTATTTATAAAATACAAAATGAAAGTTGTTACCTTTTGTGACAACAAAGCTTGAACGACTTGATGCGCAACTTGATCTAAACACTTTTCACATTGTTCTCGTTCTGCAAGCAGTCTTGAATTTTCTTCCTCGGCAAGCCGCAGTCTTTCTGTAAGAGCTTCTTCTTGTGTGCCCTGAAGAAAAGTTTTCAATACAACCATTTTGCAGAATAAACAGTTTTTAAATTTTGTTTTAATTTCATATTGGCTTACAGCTGCTTCTAAAGTGTGAAGCTGTGCCTTTAGAGCTTCATTTTCCCGGCTTAGCTTGCTGAGGGTTGATTGGAATTGTTGCATTCTTGCCTGAAACAATAAGAATACATTGTTATGTTTTATTTAAAAAAATAAAATAATAGTCCTTTTTTCAGATAAGCACTATAAAAATATTTTCCTGTGAACCCTAAACTAAAACAAGTTTAAAACCAACTTTCCATGATAAATTATTAAAAAAGTTTCAAGCTTTAAAGTTAAGCTAATAAAGATTAATATAAAAACTAAAACTAAATAAAAAACAGAGTAAAGGATTTTTACAAGAGTACATATTAATTTCGACTACTAGTGCCTTTAATTTCACAGGTTCCTTTCCAAATGAACAGTTTTGTTGGCATTTAGTTAATATTTTGTGTTGTAAATCATAAAGGCGGAGACAGAAAAAAAGGGCCCAGGACGGAAAAGTGACTTAAATTGAAGAAAATCCTTTGATTTTGTAGGGTGATTAACCTGTAATTTGGTAACTACCAATCATCCTACCCTTTTACAACATGTTTGTGTTGCGACTGTGAAATAACTAAAATCTAAATAAACTACCAAAATGCGTCTGATACATCCAACACAGCAAGTTTAGGCAAAAAGGGTGGTTAATAACAAATTATTATTATTATTATTATTTTAAAGATAATGGGAAAACTACGCATACACGTTACAGATCTAATTTATCAAGCAAATTTAAAATTTGTAATAATGATATCGGATAGGGTCTGATGTGATCATTATCAAAAAGTGTTTATAAATGGGCATTCTTATTCCATAATTCCTGTTACTGCAAGGCTCAATTCTGGGACCACTCTTGTTTAACGTTTTCATCAATGACCTTAGCCAGTAGTGTTAAGGTTGGATCTTCATATTTATTTGCAGATGGATCATTACAGTGGATTCAAGTGCGACTGAACTTAGTTTAAACTTAAAATAGTGTTACATCAAATAAATGATACATTTGACAAATGGCCTGCCACATATGGACAAATAATCTCGATCTCTAAAGTAATGCTCAGTAAGGATTTCGGGATTGAATATTGATTTCTCTTTGACATGGGAAGCTCATGTAAATGAACTCTTACCAAAATTAAACTTTTTTTTTCAATACAGATATTAGCGAATTTTACAGGCCAAAACATACATAAAACTGTGTACAAAAATAATTTCGAATCACTGCTCTCCACGGCCTGATTTTTTGGGGAAATAGCACTGTCACTATTAAGGTCTTTAGGAAAAAAAAAATAAATAAATAAAAAGAGCGATGTGGAATAAGGCACTCTTGCAGTCAGCTTTTTGAAAATTACAAAATAATGACCCTAACCTGCATATGCATTATAAATTCCCATTTTAATTATTAAAAAAAAAATCAAATTGTTTTCCTTACTAATTTGACAATTCATTATTAATAATACTCGCTCCAAGAATTGTTTTACATCAGTTCATAATAATAGTAGATGGTCTAATAAATGTTTCCCACATGGGAACATACATTTTCAATTTTCTCCCTGCTAATATCAAAACTATTAATGGTTTATCGATGTAAAAGGAATTTGAATATACATTTACAGGGAAAATCTTACTATGATTTAAATTAATTTTTTGTTCTTCAAGTCCATGATATTTTATTGTTGTATTAATTTTGCATCTATTTTTTAAGTCTAATTTGTTTAATTTATTTGTAACTCGACGGGTCTGAGTACAATGTATAATACGGCAATAAATGATGCTATTCCTAATACAGGCCCATGGCGATTTATAAAAGTTAAAAGCTTTAAACCGAAGAGTGGCGAGATTATTTTTTTATTAATCTGTGTATGTTTAGCGGTCATAATTTACCTATTTGATATTTTAATTAATTCATACTTTTTATCAAAGACTTGGTTGAGATGAAAAAGTCAGTATCACGAGCGGGATTCAAGCTGAAGGTCGTGGATTCAAACCCCCTTGAGTGACTGACTTTTTCATCTCAACCAAGGTTTTAGATAAAAAGAATAATTAATTGAAATGATTTTCTTCGGGACGTAGCAGTCAGATTCGAAGTTTGAATGAACTTGAACTGAATGAACAATGAATTTATATTTCTTTTAACTTCTAATCTCTCATTTGATTTTTGTGAGAATATAAGACTAATAGAATGAATAAATGGATAAATCAATAAATAAATCCGATTATTTTGGTTGTGATTTTTTTTTGTGCATATTCATAGCAGGGTGCGTAGTTTTTCTTTTAAAATATTACATTATTTAGTTAAGTAAATTTATTAAAGGCTGAATTTTTCCTCGAAAGCCTCCCAACGAGTTACAAGACCAAAGTTGAACTGTCGGCTCGTCGGGCGTTGGGGGAAATTAAACCCCCCTAATTAACGGAATACCCCCGTGAATGTGGTGTTTTATCCAGGTGGATGGTTGCGAATTAAGTTTTCAATTAAGGGGCCGGCGTCGTTTTTGAGAAACGGAGTGGTGAGAGATCATGCATAAAATATGACGGTGAAAAGGTGGCCGGGTTTTCGTCCTGTGCCGTAATTGGGGAAGAGTACCGCTGGAAAGAGCAGCATCCCGCCGTATTAAATCCCATTTGGAACTAAAGGGGGAACTGGAACTGTTCGAATAAAGTGCAGATGCCATGGGTCCACGTTAGGGGACCAGTTTTATTAAGGATTTCATCCCTGCTCTGAGGCGTCAGCAATTTTGCATGTATTCACCTCTGATTACACAAATCGGACTTTCTTCAACTAAGGATGAATACAAAACGTTTCATTTTCAAAAAGAGGGTGCGAAATTTAATTTTAAGATTTTGTTTCCGTACCGTCCTTTTTAAGTCTAAAAATATCACATAATAGTCTCGTGGATTAGGGTTGTAGAAAAATAAGTTCTTTTCTACCAAACGTCGAGCTTTCGACTATATATTTCGTCTTCTTCAGGGTATGTAGCCAAAATTTAAAAAAGTGTACATGCTCTAATCATAACCCATGGTATTTATTTATATCATATGTAGATGTAGAATATAGATGTATTGGTCAGGGTGTATTATACTGCGCTTTTTAAGAGGTATTGATTAGTAGGACCGGTTTGAGGTTTCAATGGTTGAATCTCTTCTACGGCTACATTGTACATTCCAAAGCACTTCCTCCTGCTGGCAAGTGTAACGCCACAGTTTGTTAACAGGTGTGTTGGCTCTCCTCTGCTTCTTTGCAGAATCTGCATGTGCCGTCTTGGATTATTCCATCTTCTTTAAGTGTCTATTTAACTGCAGTGTCCTGTTAAGAATCCCGTTGAAATCGTTTTTCCTGCTTCCTTTGACACATTCTGTAACTTCTTTCCTTCCAAAATTTGTTCGGAGATTCTTGGATTGTTTGTGTCCAATGAGTGAATTCCATTGTTCCTTTATTTTCTTTTTGTCCTTGTTTGAGGTACTCATTGACAGTGTGGGTTCCTGACACAGAACGGCTCGGGCCATATCAGCGGTAAAGCATCCCCTTTCCTTGCAAGGGTGTCCCCGCTTTCTCGTTGCCTTCTACTCCCATGGGTCCTGGGACCCAGCAGAGGCTATGTTCTGCGTACCTAATAAGTCCATAATGTTTAGTGGTCCGATTGACCAAATTACTTTTTCAATTAATTCATCTTTTTATGTAAGGTCTTGGTAGAAATGAAAAAGTTAGTGTCACAAGCAGGATTCGAACCCACGACCTCCGGCTTAATAAGCAGCTGCTCTAACCACTTGAGCTATCGTGACTTCGATCCACTCGGACACCAACTCCTCATCTCAACCTACAGCCTTTCGAAATTTTCCCTCTTTTTGCTATATTTTCAAATGTCGTGTAATCAGGATTCGATTCTCGCCTATATATGAATTGGCTACAGAAAGCTGTTAGTGAAGTTACACTTCGTGCTACTTATTAAATCCATTATATGTCTGATTGACCAAATTACTTCTTTCAATTAATTAATCTTTTTCGGTAAGGTTTTGGTTGAAATGAAAAAGTTAGTGCCACGAGTGGGATTCGAACCCATGACCTTCGGCTCAATTCGACGCTGCTCTAACCACTTGAGCTATCGTGACTTCGATCCCCTCGGACATCAACTCCCCATCTCAGATGGTTAGAGCAGCGGCGTATTGAGCCGAAGGTCGTGGGTTCGAATCCCGCTTGTGACGCTAACTTTTTCATTTCAACAAAAACCTTACATAAGAAGATTAATTAATTGAAAGAAGTACCTAATAAGTTTAATTTGGTATTGCTGTTCAACACCCTTTAGTCCAGCTGAATTAAGTACATCTCTCGATTGCAAGGACTGTAACTTGGAAGATACTGGTGTTTCCCATGGTTCTGAGTATGTTTCCAGAACCGAATACTCTACCCCTGTACCTTCTTGTGTTCTAGATCCATTTATATCAAATAGTATTTATTTAAGTAATAACTCCTATTTTTTGTCTGTTGTGACAAATCGAAGACGGTAGCCAGTACAAAAATATAAGCTTTTATACTGATTTTATTGTGGTCGGTTCCTATCATTTTGGTCTTTTTTTGTGGGGGTCTGTTGTGCTGTTGTGACAAATATGCGAATATGATAATCTAGTTACAAAAAATATAAGCTTTTATATCATTTTTATTTTTTTTCTATCATTATCAGTCGTACTATGCCTTGTTTTTCTGTTGGTACAGCCAATGATTGTAGCTTTGTTAAGACGAAAAAGTACCCAAAAATAGATTTAGTTTTAGCTGTGTTTGGACATTTCAGTCAACATCTACTCTGATTACACATTAAAACTCCGGCTGAGGTTTTTTGACGGTACTAACTAGTTTTAAATGAAAACCATATTGTAACAAATATTGTTAAAAGTATGCCGTTGCTCTTAAAGGAATTATCTCTCAGAGTATAATATACGAGTTTTATTTGTTTATTTCTAAAGAAATCCTTAATTTTCATTGTGGATTTTTTAAAGCATGAGAAGGGATAATATGCTAGTATGCGTGATGCGATTAAGGATTTTCGAATTTGAATATTTTCTTAAAGAGAAAATTATTGATTACATCCATCAGCTTTAAGAAG